AGAGGCAAAAAGCATGAATATTAATTTATTCATTCAAATATTTCTTGAGTGCTCACCAAATGCCAGGCATTGTTCTAGGTCCTAGAGATTTAGCTGTGCACGACAGAGACAAGGTTCTTGTCTTCACGGAGCTTATATTGCAATGGTATGGTCTAGCAGAACAAGTAAACAAATAGATAAATGAGAAATTACTTGAAATGGTAAGTGCTTAGAAGAACATCATCATGGCCATGATGAAGAAAAGTTGGGGGGCAGTGTGAGATAGGGTGGACGAGGAAGGCTTCTAAGAGGAGACATGTAATAAAAAGCAAGACCCAGTTCTGCAAAAGTAGAGGGACACATTCCAGACAAAAGCCAAGGCGAAAGCCTTGAGGCGAGACGGAGCTTGACTTTTGGGGTTTTTTATTTTGTATTTTTTAGAAAGAAAAAAAAAAGATCCAATATGACTGGAATGTAGAGAGTAGGAAGGAAAGTGGTGCAAGTTAAGGGTTCAGAGGGAGGCAGGGAGTGGATATTACAGAATTGTGGTAGCTATGAGATTTTAGACCAGTTACTTAACATCTCCGACACTCCAGTGTTCTCTTTGGTACATTGGGCATAATAATGGTACTTATATATAATAAGGACTACATAAGACACATGTAATAGGTTGCTGGGATTGTACTGCCAAGTCAGGTAAGGTACGCCCAGCTCATAGCACAGGCACACATTGAAAGGAAGCGATCATGCTGTTGTTGGTCCGGTAGTAAGTTCAGTGTCCAGAAGGGGGCTGAAGGATGACTAGAGTGAAATTCACTCAAGAGGGTAACTACAAATGGACAAGGCAGGGCAGGTAGACTTTAGGTGGAAGGGAGAGGAATGGAAGATGACATGCCAGGGAAGACTCATTTTGTGGCCCCGTGTGTGAGCATGGAGATGAATATGGTGCATTTGCCCAGTGGTGAGGAGCCTGGCCCGATGGGGGGGGCAAGATGTAAGAGGGACAAGATCATAGGTGAGTCCTGTGTGCCCCATAGATGGGAGAGGCACCCCCCCGCCCAGGCCACTGTAGAATGTTTGCACGGGAATTACATAATTTATGACTGGTGTTGCAAGTTCCCCAGGCTACAAGGTTCATGATGGGCTGGAAAAGGGGTTCCTGGCCACGTGGATGGCTTCTGGGAAAACTCCTAGTTCAGGTGAGCATAATCAAACAGTGCGTAAATCAGTCGTTCAGCTTTAAGTTCTTCTCTTCAGAAAGAAAAGGAATAATATGAATGACTTCCTTTAATGTCTTGAGCCACCTTCCCCCCTTCTTCGGCTCTGGGATTGCTTTCTAAATCCTCTACTGGGAGAAGAATGTCTCACTCAAGCGTCTCCTCCAGCTATCTTGTTTGGCGACAGTGGTTGATGGTTATAGTCTTTCCAAGAAGCCTGGTTCCAAACTGTCCTCTGTGTACTCCCCCTGCAAGTGACAGCAGAGTCTATTTTTGAATTATGACCAGTTTGAAAGGTGTCTTCTGGCTGTAGCTGTGTTTATTTTCAGAAGAAGTAGGAGCTGGGCTTTGGGAGGGGGGAGGGAGGATCTGGCCATTTCCACCTTTCTGGGGAACAGGTCTGGAAAATTGCTTCTGTCTAAGGGTGTCTCCTTGGAATGTCTTGGTCACAAGCCTAGCTCTTTTTCTTTGTCTGGTAAATATTTTTGGAAAGTATTTTCTTTCAGCACTCCCTTTCTCCCGCCCCCCATAAAACCACTGAGTCGGATCCCTCCCAGGATGCCGTCTGAATTGAATTTCCAACTTAGATGCCACATCAGCCGTCTGCCTTTGGTGAACTTCTCTCAACAGAGTAAGGCAAGGCTGAGGGGGACATTTTGTCAAGGAAACTAGCTACTGTCAATGCCCCCATACACAGGCCAAGAAGAGAAATAGAAAAAATGAATTGCACCATTACATAAGAAAAGTAGTGATGGTGACCAACAAAAATAAATCCATGTTCCTGTTGGAGGGTGGGGTAGAGTTCCTTGAGATTACACTTGGAAGTACCTCCTGGTGAGCTGTGTGCAGAGGCAGTTTTTTACCTCCAGAGGGCAGTCTCGCCCTCCGGAGGCAGCAGCCCTGAAGTTCACCAAAATGGTTCCCATCCCCTTAAACCCACTTCATTTTTTTTTAAATTCCCTTGTTTTGAAAGGCTTTGCTGAATAAGCTTTGTTTCTGAAGAAATAACAGTTTTCACAACACAATGGTGACTTTTGATCACCATCCCATTCGCTGGGTGTGAGCTGATGGGATTTTTGACTGATACGATTCTAAGCCAAAAAAAAGCTTGCTTTAGGGTTGAGCTGCAAGCTTGATAGAGGTGACTGTGTAGCATCAGCTGTCTTTTTTTTTGAGATATTGATTAGATCTAGTATATTTGCTGATGGAAAAACCTGCGAAAAGCAGGTTATAAGCAATAAGTGCTTTTGATCTCATTTTACTATAAAACAACATGTTAACCTTATTTATATCTCAGTGATAGAATTACGGGTAATTTTCAATTTTTTGTTCTTTTAATTTTATCTTGTTGGTGAGATTATGGATGGGTTTTTTTAAGTTTATTATTATTATTTTAGCAATCTCTACACCTAATGTGGGGTTCGAACTCATGACCACAAGATCAAGAGTCACGTGCTCTTCCAACTGAGCCAGCTTAGGCACCCCTGGGTGGATTTTTAAAGTCTAATTTCTAGTTTATCCTTTTTAAAAAATAATTTTTGTGGTACATATACATGAATGTCTTTTTATAAAAAAGCATTTAATATCATAATTGAAGCCAATCCCTTTTGATTACCTCCCCACTCCAAATGTTGCAATTTGCTCTATACCTCTCCAAAACTGTAAGAATTTCATCCATATATAACAGTGTTTTCAGTGCGCTTCTTTGGTTAATATAATTGATTTATGCAGTATATGTTATTATACAACTTGTTTTATTCATTCTTGGACATCATTCCATGCAAGTTCATGTAAATATACATTGTGCTCTTGTAATAATGCCATATCTTTCCTATATAAAAGCAAGAAGAACAATTCCAAATTAGTCTCATTTTCCCTAAGAAACCGTTAAGACTGGGTGCCTGGGTGGCTCAGTTGGTTAAGCGACTGCCTTTGGCTCAGGTCATGATCCTGGAGTCCCGGGATCGAGTCCCGCATCAGGCTCCCTGCTCGGCGGGGAGTCTGCTACTCCCTCTCCCGCTCCTCCCTCTTGTGCTCTCTCTCTCTCTCACTCTCTCTCTCAAATAAATAAATAAAATCTTTAAAAAAAAAAAAAAAAGAAAGAAACCGTTAAGACCTGATACTATATACTATTTTAGGTACTTTAAGACACATATTTGAACATGTCTGAAATTGGCATATGTCTTTAAATCAGCGATTCTAAACTGGATGAAATACAGTGGAAGAGTCCCTTACCTTCTAGCCCCCTATCTTTATATATATATTTTTTTAAACAAGCAGGGTTTCTAAGAACGTCCCCTTATATCACTTGTATCAGCTTATTTATCTTTATAATATTCCTCTTAGGAAAGCTAGGGACAATTACCAGAAGACTCATCTTATAACTGCAGAAACAAAGACACACTTCTTCCAGTGTTGAGACTATTAAGTGACAGAGATCAGCCAAAAGTTATAAAAGCTGATTCAACTTTCTAGTCTCCTATATACCAAAGTCCTGTAGTGCAAGTCCTGGGCTCACATCTTGGCTCTGCCAATTTTTTTGCAAGCTTGTTGTAAAATACACCTTAATACATAAAAACTTCCAGCTTGGTGGGCACAGAGCTGTTACCATTATGAGTAGCTGTTACTATTAATGATTATTACTACTATTACTCTTGTAATTGTTTATGTCCTCTTTTCCTATCTACTTATAATGAATGCAGCTTAGAGCTTTCTGAGTTTTTTAAATTATTTATTCAAAGACCAAAAAGGGTTGGAAAATATCTTCTGGCCCATTATAGGTTTTGTTATAATTTGACATCCCACCACTATTTGCATGTTTTTAAGCTTTATATAAGCAAGCAAAATGGAGTCTATGCCTTCTGGGAATATACAGTCTAAAACGCATCAACTGGTTGGACAGCTTTGGAAAAGACCTGGAAACAATTCCAAGCCACAGTGTCATCCTTTGGATCCCTCAGAGGTCAAAATTTAAGGAAAACTGTTTATATTCATGAATTTTACTGAGGCTCTTGAGTAAATAAACAAATACATGCTCAAATATTAGGAAGTCCATAATTTAGAAACAGCACTCAGAGAATATGTAACCCTGTACTTTTTAGAAAGCTGTATTACTGTTCTTTGTGTCTGTCTGATTTCATGAAACCAGGATTTTTCCTCTTCTTGACTATCTAAAATATTTCAGATACCACACTTAATAAGAATTTAAAGATTAATATATTAAGTTTCACCTAGTTTTTTACCTCCAAAGGTACCAGGTGGTATCAGTTTCTTGTTTATCCTCTCAGAGATATTTTATTTATGTGTGTGTGTGTGTGTGTATTTTTAAATTTTAAAATGGCTATATACTGTACTCACGGTTATGCCCCTTGTTTTTCCATTTAACGTCATGTCTTAGAAATTGCTCAAAATAAGTTTGTAAAGATACTCTCCATCTTTTGTATGGCTCTCTTGTATGTTATTGCCAGTTTAAATTAATTTTTAAACAACACCTTGCTGGACCTCTGTAGGTTGTTTTGAGCCTCTTTGCTATTACAACCAATGCTACAGTAAGGGACTTTATACATGGGCCATTTTTCACATGTGCAAGTTTACCTTGATAAATTCTTGGAAATCAACAGTCTGGTTCAGAGGCAGATGCTTTTATAACTTTGATAGTAATTGCTAAATTAACCTCATTACCAGTTGTAACAGGTTATACGCCTACGGTCCATGTATGACAGTAACTGTCTCCCCAACAGTGTGTGTTATTGAACCTTTCTCTGACCTTCTGTTTAATCCTTTTTCTTTGCTTTGTCCTCACAGAGGTCAGCAGAACTGGCTACAGTTAGATCACCGAGTTCTTGACCATGATCTGCCCAAGAAACCAGGTGCCACCATCTTGCACTTTGCTGTGAGGTACGTATCCATAGAAACATCCAGCATTCCCACCTCCCTTTAAAAAAAAAATTCTGGTGATCAGATAGAGAATAAAAAAAGAACAGACCTATCAAAACATTATTGTGTGAAAAAGATTCTCTACTGTCTTAGTCTGGAGACGAAGTTGCCATAGATACTATGTAGAACTGTTTTCTTTGAAGATGAAGGATAGGATCACCTTCCTTTATTCCTCAAAGTCCTTTGGATCCATTTAAAGCTGGAAAACATAGGTACTTTGTTTTAATACCTAAGGCTGTTTTCAACTCAGCATACTTTAGGATTTTTATAATTTGAAATATGGCAAACATTTACTACACGTTATGAACATTTCCTAGAGACTGTGGCAAGAATTGAATTTTATGCAATTTCACCCCTCCGTTTGAATAGAAGATAAAATGCAAACAAATGCTCGTGGAAAGAATTATCTTAACAGCGCAGAAATCTGGGCGCCTGGGTGGCTCAGATGGTTAAGCGTCTGCCTTCAGCTCAGGTCATGATCCTAGGGTCCTGGGATCGAGTTCCGCATTGGGCTCCCTGCTAGGCGGGGCGCCTCCTTCTCCCTCTGCCTCTCTCTCTCTCTCTCTCTGACTCTCATGAATAAATAAATAAAATATTTTTTTAAAAAAAGTGCAGAAATCTGAATTCAGCTTGCAGTCAGAGAGATTGCTGAGAAGGATGTAAGGAGTCCTTGACTTGTTCCCTGGCTCTGCTTGGGCAGGTCACTTACCCATTCCTAGGGGCCTCCATACATACTTTCTCTGGAAATGGAGGCATTCAACTCAGTAATTTCTTAAAGCCATGATAGGAATAGTTTTCCACATGAAATACTCACTCTAAAATAAATAAAATGTTATGAGAAGTAACACCTGTGTTCCTGTACCTAGCTTGAGAAGTAAAACATTCCCAATTTTGCTGAAAGCCCCTTTCTGTGAACCAACAGCTCTTTCCCCTCTACCTGAATTTGATGATAAATTTCATGATAAGTTGTTTTCCTTGTCTGAAGCCAAATCTGATAAAATAAGCTAAGGTCGTAGATTTTCCATGAATCCAAATAAGTTTTCATAAAGCTAGATCAACCTAAAGAATGTCTCTGTATTCTGAGCTTGTGTTATTTTTTGGATATTGAAATATGCTTTGTTTGAGGGGCCTGGCTAGCTCAGTTGGTAGAGCATGCAACTCTTGATCCCTGGGTTGTGAAGTGTTTGACAGTTGGACAGTTTAGTTCAGAGGCACATGCTTTTGTAATTTTGATAGCTTACTTAAAAAAAGAAAGAAAGGAAGGAAAGAAAGGGAAGAAAGGGAGAAAGAAGGAAGGAAGGAAAGAGAAAGAAAGAAGAAAGAAAGAGAGAAAGAAAGAAAGAAAGAGAAAGAAAGAAAGAAAGAAAGAAAGAAAGAAAGAAAGAAAGAAAGAAAGAAAGAAAGAAAGAAAGAAAGAAAGAAAGAAAGGAGGAAGGGAGGGAGGAAGGAAGGAAGGAAGGAAGAAAAATGATTTGTTTTATGACATAGTAGTGGAAGCTTCTTATTATGATTACCTGGCAAAATCATGTTGATTTACACAATTTTTTTTTTTACTTCATTTCATTTACTTCAGTCTGCTCCATGAAACCCAAAAGTATGGTAATAAGATGTCCTACCTTTTTTTTAAGCACCTTTTTTTATATGAATTGTGATTGTCGATGGTAGCTGCTCCTAACTCAGGAAATAAAGTACTGACAATCCCCAATTTGTTTTTTGCTTTTTGCTTTGGTATCTGGCTTAGAATTTCTTTAATACCACCAGACATATTTTTGAAACCCAGGAAGGAGGTAGCATAAATGGTGATTTGTCCAGGAGCATAGCTGGTGTGGAGAATTGCACGGAAATCCTAAAGAAAAACATAGGAGTTTCCTGGAAAGAGTATGACATGAGTGCTTGTGTTCATGGAAATGGGAGGAAAAGACAAACAAAAACTACAAGCAGTAGGAAAAAGTGCATATTAGTCATTAAGCAGGGGTCAGAGCACACGGAAATTTTAATCTTGTGTGTGAAAAATGGCTCAACATACGTCAATAAATTTTTTCACAAAAGATTATATTTTGACTGTAAACATTTCAAATTATATGAACTTACTCTCCCCAGCCTTCCTCCCTCCCCTCCACCCCTGACACCCTTCCCTTCTCAGAGAAAAATAAGGATGACGTGTTGCTTGGTGACTGACTTTGTTTCTACCTGGAGATTTCTCCTTGTGTCTGTGAAAATCCACTTTGTTTGCACTTTCATAACTTAGGGGTCCAGTCTCCTATGAAGCACTTAGGCTGTTTCCAAATATGTATGCTTTAATGCAGGCTGTGGTTAAGATCCTGGTATTTACATCTTTGCACACACGTGTGTTATCTATGCGGCATAACTAGTCAGCAAAATCCTGTGTTTGGAGAATTTAAACAAGTACCATTTATTTAGTCATCCGATTGTGAACTCCTCTGACAGCTGATATCTGGTCTAGTTTTGGTCTCAGAAATACCAGGGGGAGAAAACTCTATCTTCCCTTCTATTCAGTCATTCCTAAGGTGGCCCTATCTTCTGGAAGCAGGTTCCTGAGATGCCGGAGCAACCTGCTACTTGTTCCCATGAGTTTCAGCACTTACTTGAGCATTATCTCGAGTGTCCCATAATCACATGGCGTGACTTTCCCTTAACTCCTTGCGTGTTTAAAACCCTTATCAAGTTCTTAATTATTCACTTAATTTTTCCTCCCAACAGTAGAGTGAGATCATAATAATCTTTGTTATTATTCCAATTAAGTACTTGCTGTTACTCCAGCTTAATTAAAGAGGTGATAAAGCAAAAGCACGCAGAGAATTAAGTGAACTGATGGAGGTCACTCAGTGGAATGTTGTTCTTTGGAGGGCTTACGAAGGGGGTTAGAGGAACCCCTGTGAAGTCTGGTGCTTCTCAGAGGGCCTCTAGCCTCTTCTTTGGGGAGAACAGAACTGTTTGTGAGACTTACAACCCCACAGACACCACCACCAACCCTCTTAGTCATTGAAGAATAGAACCAAAGACAGCTTTTGATTCTATTTGGATATCGGTCACTACAGGAGCCTCCGGAAATACACCAGACCTCTTTTTTTTTCTTTTCAACTGAAGTATAATTGACACATACTGTTACATTAGTTGCAAGTGTATGACATAGTGATTTGAGGAGCCTATACGTTATCCTGTGCTCACCACAAATGTAGCTGTCCTCTGTCACCGCACAATGCTCTTACAATACCATTGTCTGTATGCCCATGCTGTACCTTTCATCCCTGTAACTTCTTCATTCCGTAACTGGAAGCAGTCACCCAGGTGCAATCACGAAGTAGTGAATGCACAATGACAAAGGATTCCCCGCAGTGGTAGCACATTACAAGGATGTGCATCACAGTTATTTTCATTGCAAACAGTTAGAAATATCCAAATGCCGACAATGAAGGTTAGGTTCAGTAAGTGATGGCATTCGTACAGTGACCGATTGGTCACTTTAATAAAAGAGATTAGTCTGTTGTTGTTTTTTTTAAGTACATTGCATTTCAACGTTTCCCCACAGAGAGAGGGGGTGCATATCTGAATCATCCTAGGAGTTTTTCAAACTAGACAATCATACCCCTCCAAGCCCCAAATCCCCCACATTCCTGGCCCAGATTCTGATCCAGTGCACTAGAGACGGTAAATACGCTCTTGTTCAAGTTGGTTGTGACAAATAAAGAGACATCGGGATAGAGAGTGAGTTTGCAAAATGCTATAAAAAATATAAAGAAATACAATTTTTAAAAAAAATTGTAGCGTTTATGACAAAGAAAAAACCATTCAGTTTTGCTCTCAAGAAGTTCTCTCTCTATGGATATGTAGCATTAACCCTGTGGTAGGCACTGGGCTAAATATTTGACGTGCATTGTCTCAGTGGGTCCTGAGCTAAACACTGGGGTCCTGCAGCTCTGGGAGAGGGGGTGACTTTCTCTTGGTTAATTCCCCTCAGGGCACAGGGAGCAGCTCAGAAACATAGGCTGCTTCTGCATGGAAGAAAACCCTGAAGGTGAAGGGCGCTTAGCGTTCCCTTTATGAACTTCAGGATTAAACCTTTGTCTTCAGTTACAAAAGCTCAGTGATAACGTGCTAAATACACATGTGACACTTGGGTATATAGACGCCCCATAATTTATTTATGCACCATAATTCATTGAACCAATTCTCCATTTCCATGTGAGTCCAAACTCCCCCAGGTTGCTGGGGGACTTCTCCGGGCTGGGGGGTTGTTATTTGCTGCTGTAAATTATCTTCTGCAAACACATGGGCCTCTTTGGTAATGCAGCCCAGATGTGAGCATTGGAAAAGCTTGATAGTGAGTGAGCACGCAAGCATTTAAATCAGAGAGCGGGGCCTTGGCGTGACCTCACTGGAAAAGCTCCCATTCCATCACGGGAGGGCAGGCGGAGGTGGCTCAGGCTGGTACCACCCAGCTCCACACCGAGCAGCATCTCAGCGTCTTTTACTCCCTTCTTCTGACTACTTGTTGCTCCCCCCCTCCTTCTCCCCTTCTGGTCTTCCCTCTCCTGCCCCTTTTCCTCCTCCTCAAGCCCCCTCTGCTGTGCCCTAGGGCTGTAAGGCATCACTCAGAGGTACCCCTAAAGCATCATCATCTGTGACACTCAGGGCTGAGAACTCCCTGCATTACTTGGAGAGTTCTAGGAGAAATGTGAGGGATATAAGGGAAACTGCTACCTTTCTGCCAAATTTGTTGCAAACCTGGAGCCTTTGAAAAACTTGAGAGTGCTCTCGGCACCCCCTGTCCTGGTTCTGGAACACTCAGCCTTTAAAAAGGGTTAAACTCAAGGAAGCGTCATAACTGTAACCTGTGGGTTCCCATCATTCCGCCTGACTTTTTTTTCTTTTTTTAAGAATGCCAAATATATGAAATACAACACAACAGGTAAAAACAAACACACAAAGACTCTGGTGAAAAAAGAGATTTGTTCATATGGAAAGATACCCCCAATATATTCAAGCAGATCACAAAGCATGTGTGACATGATTACACTTAAACGTGAGTAGGGAGAAAGTTTAAAACGTTAACAGTAGTTAATCTCTGGATAGAATGATTCTGGGAATGATTTTTTTTTTTTGTCTTTTTGTTAATCTATATATATTTTTTTTTTCCTTGATAATGAACATATTACTTAAGCATTTTTTTTTAATGCAAACAGCAGTTAGGCTCTGGGTGGAATGATTATGAGAAAGATTTTTTTTCTTTTTGTTAATCTATATATATTTTTTCATATGATGAATACATTACTTAAGCTTTTTTTTTTTTAAATGCAAACAGTAGTAAATCTCTGGGTAGAATGATTATGGGAATGATTTTTTTTTTTTTTGTCTTTTTGCTTATCTCTCTATAATTTTTTTCCTACAATGAACACATTACTTTAAGCATTTTTTTTTTTTTGATGCAAGCATTAGGATTGATAAGAGGAAGAGAAATTGGAATGTTTGTGAGTGGCTAGCCATGAGTTATTTTAAAGCTATCAAAAGGTAGGTAACTTACAATAAGAAGAGGACAGGAAAGTTTATCTCTTCGAGGAAGAATGTGATCAAAAGCCCAGAGGAATAACTGATTCCTCCTACTATGGGCCCAGCAGAGGCTCTTTGAGGCAGATATGTGAGGTCAGCTGGAGCTCTGGGCCAGCCACCACACTCCCATCTGAGCGGGCAATATCCCAGAACATAAAGAAGGTGACTGTTGGTTGCCTTAATATTGACCGTGAGCTCCTAAGAGCATTAACCCATTCTTGACCTTCCAGGCACTTGGTCAGAGGCCTCCATCTGTGAGGATCCGACATCCTAATTCTTACAAGAGATCCAGAAAGACACAGAACCTTTCAAAACTCGTGCTCAATCCTGATTCCAGTTTCTTACAGGATTATATTTCTCAATGTGCTTTCTGATCAAATATCAGACACTGTGGGAATCAGCTCACTCTCCTCCATAATCTGTCCTCAGGGTGACATCGAAAGGGCAGAAGGAAAGAATGAGTAATGTAATGAGTGCAAAAAGCTGTAGCGTGCAGAAGTTAAAGCTTGGCCTTTAGCACAGAGTTTAATAGGGGCCCTTCTGACATTTGGGGCAGGTAATTCTTCGTCGTGGGAAGCTACGCTGGGATGTGGGATGGTCTCAGCATCCTGGGCATCGACCATCCTGGGCATACACCCTCCAAGTCAGGGTGATCCAAAAATGTCTTCCATACTGCCCAGTGTGCCCCACTCTGCCCACTGAGAATGGGTGCTTTAGCATCGCTCCTGGATTCGAATCCCAGTTCTTCCATTTATTTGCTCTGTGGCTTATTTTCCTCATGTGCAAAATGGACCTTGTTGGAGGATTAAACCTGTAAGAACATATCATGTAGACCCTCAGTACATGTTAACGATTATTATGATATAAATGACAGAGACTGCCTTAATCACATATGGAACGGTTAAAAAAAAAATCCGTAACATGATATACGGTCTTCAAATGTGGAAGGTTTGGGACTGTCTGGCTTAAGTCAGACCCATTCACATTTGCCCTGGGTGGAAGATCTCATCGTTTGTCTTTGTCATTCACAGTGCCGGCCATCCCCCTGGCCCCCATCTCCCTTCTCCTGCCTCCCTTCCTGCCTTCTTCTCAAAGCCTGCATCCCTATTTTGCTCGTGGAGGATGGGAGCAGGCTGTTTTGCAGTTTGGAAGGGAAGAAGCAACACTTGGACACTTAATGGGTTGCCTGGGGCAGAAGACTTCCTTGGACCCCTTTCTGACAGGTCACAGCAAGGTCCTTACCCTCCTGGGCCTCCAGCCCTTCCCTGGGGATCTCAGAAAGAGCCACACCATGGGAGTGAGCAACAGGGCAGGTTCCTACAGACTTATCTGGAGGGCCCTCCCTGGTTCTCCTAGAGATGCCTGGAAATTTGGAAGTGAGGGAGCGTCTTTTGGCAGGGAGCACATAGTGGAAGCAAACTGTGCTTTCCTTGGGGAATTCTGTCAGACTGCACCCCTCCCAGAGATGAAAGGAGCATCTGGGACTCCCACGAGCCCTGCATAATAGCTTGGAGAAAGTACAGTATACTTCAATTACACTGCTGGCTTCTGCATGCATCATAAAGTGAGACGATGAGGTAGCCGGGTCATTACAAGCAATGAGCAGAGATCTCCCTGCTCAGAATGTGGCCTGGGATCTGATAGGAATCTTCTTGGGCCCGCGGCTGCGGTGAGTGCCAGAAATTACCCGCAATAACTGACTGAAACCCAGAAGGAGGCCCTCGCTGGACTCCACTCACAAGCTCAGCATTGTTCAGAATGCGAAGTCATTAAGCAATTCTTGCCCGATTCCCCGACTTTGAAGATATCACGGAGACATAAGGAAGGCCCTGGAAAACTAAATATGCTCAGTTGGCAGAGAACAAGTCATAACTGGTCAGAAAGACTTTTGTTTCATGGCATTTTCCTGTTCTGGGTCAAATGGACACTTGGGGAGCACTTTGGGTCCAAGAGAGAAAGAGCTTAGGAAGGACACTTGCTAAAGTCTTAAAAAAGCTTCCCGGCTCAGTCACTGCCTTTTATTATAGTGCCATCTATAGAAGAAGAAGAAGAATCTAGTAATAATGCCCGCCACCCATTGGCTGCTGAGTGGCATGCCTCCAGCTATATTGAGCACATTTAAAACATCTCATGGCTCTGGGATGTGGGGCAGGTGAAGCAGGGGAGCACTGAGCAGCCGGACGGCCAGCTCGAGGCCCCAGGATGAGGCTGTCTCCCCAACTCCATGGTGTTGACTTTTGGTCACAATGAATAAATGCCCCAAGAAGAAAATATTGGCCACCTACCGGTAAGTGACTGTTGAAGAACAGCCCATGTCAAACAACTCCTGTGTTCTGCCTTTTGGCATATCTGTGTTGTCACTGGGCCGACAGGCCCACCTCCTCCCCAGGCCATCTTTTTCACATCACTGAAGTTCGATGTTCTGGTATCGTTGCTAAACGGTTAGGTGACCACCCGTCCCGTCAGGAAGGGACAAAGACAGCCAGTGGGGGGAGCACACAAATTAGAGGAAAACGTCTCCAAGCAAACTCTCTTCTCAAGAAATTGTACTTACTCAGCTGTAATGAGGTTTGTCTCTAAAACATATGCCTAGTCCAAAAGCCTGAGCTCATTTCAGGGCTGGAAATTGAACCGGGGGCTTAAACTTCACAAAATCTTGGTGAAATCACTCACAATAAGTGTGCAGAAAGGAAACAGTATCCTTTTACCAAAAAGGGGGCTGGAACAAAAGGTCTTTATTTTATGAGTCTGGGAGAGTTCGTTTTATTTCATTAAGAAGCCCTAGATTCTGTTTTCACTTCATGATACATGTTGATAGGTGTGCCTGGGGAGTTATTCTCCCAAAGGACGATACGCACTTTTCATACACTACATAAATATGAAGTCATTACAATGGCCCCCTTGAGGGAGAGAGAGGATTCTGAATTGAGAGAGCAGGTAATCAGATGCCAAAGAAGAAAGGTAGAAGGCAACAGGGCAGGTCGCCAGAAAGTGGTGGGAAACAAGATAGGGACCTGTTTACTAGAACGAAGGTATAGTCAGGGGCTTGGGCTTCAGAAACAAGAGGAACCCAGTTTCTGGTACAAAGCTATCTGTTCAGAGCTGGGCAAGCCACCGGCTGATTTGGGGCTGAGCCACCCAGCCCCCTGCATGTAGGTTCTTAAATTCTTGAAGATTAGCAAGAGGACTGGTCTGGCTATTATATCCTCTCCCTGGAATGGCCTTCCTCCCTTGGCTACCTGGCGAACTCATGCATTCTTTAAGACTCAACCCAGTTGTCCAAGGGGACATTTCGTGTCCTGTGTCACTTAGTGCTATGGATCTCAGCTTGGCCACCTTCTCCCTCTTGATTCCTAAGCTGAGTTCACTGCATCCCTCCTTCGGGCCCCATGGCATTGTGTGCGTGTTACCTTTCATTGTGATTGTTATTGTAGGAAAGCATTCTATCACATGGGTGTGGAATGGGAACTTTGAAGTCTGACCGGCCTTAGTTCGAATCATGGCTCCCCCACTTCCTGCCTGTACGGCTTAGAGAAGATGACTTAGGGACACCTCCATCTCTCCGTTTCCTCGTCTGTAAAATGGGTTCTTAAGTCGCCACCTGTGGCGTCTGGTTGTACTGAAGATTAAGTGAAACGATTGTTGCGAGTGAAATGAGACAATGCATGGAAGGCGCTTCGCGTCTGGCTAGCTGTAAGCAGGAGCTCAGGAGATCGTAGCTGGCACACTGCAGCTGCCCCTTTCAGGAAACCTGCCCCCGTTACCTCAGTTGACAGGGATAAAGTACCTGTAGCAGCAAAGAGCAGGCAACTGCCACCACCACCACCTAGTTGAACCGGAAGGTCCTTCAGGATGCAGCCATTGAGTTAACTGGGGTGGAGGAGCGCGCTCCACCCCAGAGAGGCTCCTTATGTGGGATAAGCGGTGGCCCAACCAAGCCAGGGACCCTCAGAGGGAGTGAGAGAGAGGGAGGCACTAAGCCGAAGCCACCAGTCGGAGGAAGAAGGGCAAGTCAGCTGCAGGAGCTGAGGGCACAGAAGCAAGGGAGTGCGCTGAGCGACACAAAGCCAGGGGGCCCCTGAGGCTTGCTGCCACCACTACTGGAAGGCTGGGATCTTAGACTCAAAGTTGGAGTCACTTCCCCTAGGCCACAAAGCATGACATTCCAGAGAATGGGTTTTTATTAACAATTGTTAATATTTATTGTTTCCTATATATGACTTCCTTTAATCCTTTCAAGAGCCGCCCCCCCCAACGATGAGCTGAGTGCAATCATGACACCCATTTTAGAAGAGACACAAAGAAGCCCATGAACTTGCCCAAGGCCACACAGCTAATAAAGGATGGAGGAGGGCGTCCCTATCTTGATCTTTCTGATTCCGAAGCCTGTTTTCCCCCAGCCCCACATTCTCCTCCCTGTCTGAGTCCTTCACTTTCCTTTCTCACAAACCAGCCATCTTCAGTCCTCATTAATCTCACTTATGAGATAAACCCTTGTAAGGAAAAATATAAAGGATTTATTCTCTTTCTGGAACTCCCCTTGATGATTCAGCATTAGAGGTGAAATTTTTCAAATGCTTTTGCCATCTCCGTGATAAAATCATCCATGGTCCTTTTCAGTTTCATTTATTTATCCAACATTCTGTCCATATTGGAGGGAAGGGAGTGGAGAACAGATGCCCACCGCCTGTCATGATGGTGCAGAGCTAAGGTCAGTCTCCCCAGCCACTTTAGCCCTGGTTGATCTTAACTCTCACCAATCAGAGAGCAAGCTTCTCTTCCAGGAGCCGAGCTGTGAGCTGTCTTGGGGCATTAGGTCTCTTCATGCATTATTCATCAAGCGAGGTTCCAAACTTGAGAAAAACTTCTGTGCCTCTGGCTGGCCCGCTCACCCACCCAGAGCTTAGCGTTCACTGGCCAGCCTCATCATTAGGAGATTTTGAAAAAAGACAGAATTGTGAAGGACTCCCCTCCCCTCCTTACAAGGGGCTGTCGGAGCTCTCCTTAGAGTGTGGACTAAAGCCCAGGGAAGGGGGTGGGGAGAGGCCTGGCATACTCTGATTTGCATGACAAAAAGTCCAAGGTTAAGTGCTACTGAGGGCCTGGCTTCCAGCCAAGAGAAAACCCTGGCCTGGAAGGATGACCGGGAAGGAGCAGGGTGTCATTGAAATTTGCCTGGTGAATGCAGGCAAGGTGGGTCTGGGGCCCTCACACCCTCACACCCGCCTCAAGTCTAAAAACCAGAGCAGACATGAATGTTGCATTATATAGTTCTTAACTCAGTCAACTTCTACTTTCTACTTCTGCTTTTGCCTGGGCTTTGTTTTGAAGCTGTCTGAGGTATTAGGAGCCCCCAGAATGCTTGTGTTCAAGAATGATCAACACAGATAAAGCTGGGTTTGCAGTTAGGTACCATTTGCAGTTTGCAGGTAGATACCATTTTGGATTCCTCTTGAATTCATCGTCCAAGACACAAAAACTTTATGTTAAGAGATTTTATCTGCATATATGCCTACATTCATATGCATGTATATGTACATATATGTAGACATACATATGTATTACAGATTTCTTTTAAAAGGGAAAAAAAGCACAACTGTTTCCTAGTTCCTCGTAATCGTTTCTGTTTTGGGGGAAGCTAAATGAGGACATGACATCATGCTGAGAGAGGGAAAGAAATCTGAAGAACCAACTTCTGTACTGTTTTTCAGGTTTTACATTGAGAGCATATCGTTTTTAAAGGATAAAACCACAGTGGAGCTGTTTTTCCTGAACGCAAAGTCCTGTGTGCACAAGGTAAGATGCCCGCCCCATTTGTTATATTCGGTGAATGACTCCAGACGGACTGGAGTAGGGGGGACAGTGGTATTGCCTAGACTTTCATGTTCAAACAAAGAAAAATGGCCATAATCTTTCCCACTACCATAAAAAAATACAAATAAATTTAAATGAAAGCCAGCTCTTCTCAAATTCTGAGTGAGAAAGACAGCCATCTGCAGGGAACTCACGCTCACAGACAATTACCATGGCCTTAAAGGCAGCTCGTACTCCACACAGAATATTCCAGAAAGACACAAAGGTGGATTAGTCAGATTGTGATTGAAACCTCAAAAAAAGTCATACTGGAAATCTTGTTTCATAGAGTATGCCCTACATCTCTCATAATTCAAAACCAATCTTATTTAGGGGCTTCTGCTCAGAGCCACATGTTTTAAAGCAGTGTCTCCATTATCTGTGGTGAGGGACAGGTTTTTCCGCTTTATTGTTTTTTATTTGTATCCAATCTTTGGAGGACACACTGCTTTTGTAAAATACAGTAAACATGAATTGCTAGAGAAATGATCCCACGCCCGGATGTCAAATTGCTATAAAGCATTCTCAATTTTGATCTTACCTCCTTGCAGACTATCATTGCGTTCAAGGTCCTCTACTCTGGCCTTCTCAAACCACACCTTGGCCAAGGCAGGGAGTCTGCGAACCTAGATATGTTCATCTGGAACGAACTTCTCCATTCTAGGTTATAGTCTCAGTATTCAGGATCTCAGAGCCCATGCCCACTTCCAGGGCCAGTGGGAGCCCCTTCTGTCCAGATACATCACCCCACATCTGAGGGGTGCCCAGGATTGCCTGGCCTAGAAAGATAAGGGGGGCAGACTATATATGGGTTAGGGAACTTACACTGGTACATTTCCCTTAGGCCTCCAAAATATTAAGGGTGGCTCACTGCACACACACACACAGAATTAATTGATTAAAGACTCAGACCGGGCAGAGTTTTTGTTGGATTTTTTTAAACAGCTGTATTGAGAAATAATTGACCGCACGTGTTTAAAGTATACAGTTTTGTAAGTTTTAACATATATAGTAGCCATGAAATGATCACCAAAATCAAGATAGTGAATATACCCAGCAACTGCACATCTCCTTTTCCCACAGTGGAGCAGTTTACATTTTCTAGAGTTGTATATAGGTAGAATCATATAGTAGATGATGTTTTTGTTTACTTTCCTTTTTTTAAGATCTTATTTATTTATTAGAGAGAGAGAGCATGAGCGGGGGAGGGGGAGGGGCAGAGGGAGAAGGAAAAGCAGACTCCCTGCTGAGCGGGGAGCTCAATCCCAGGACCCCAGGATTGTGACCTGAGCCAAAGGCGGATGCTTAACCGACTGAGCCACCCAGGTGCCCCATCTTTTTGTCTTCTTTCAATGAGCATAACTATTTTGAGATTCTATCTGTGTTGTTGCATGTATCAGTAGCCCATTCCTTTTTATTGCTGAAGTATCCCATTGTATGGATGTACCTTAAATTGTTTTTCAATTCCCCTGTGGGTTTTTCTCCATTTTTTTCAAGCTTTACTGGGATATAATTGACATATAACACTCTGTAAATTTAAGGAGTACGATAGGATGATTTGATACACGGATATGTTGCGAAATGATCCATTCACCTGTTGATGGACATTTGGTTGTACCAGTTTGGGGACTATTACAAATAAAAATGCAATGAACATTCATGGACAAGTCATTGTATATAAACATACTTTCTTTTTTCTTGAGTAAATACCTGGGACCAGATTGGCTGGATCATATGGTAGATATGCTTAATTTTTTACGGTACTGCCAAACTGTTTTCCAAAGTGGTTTTCAAAAATCAGTTGTTCATATATGCATGAGTTTATTTCTGGACTCTGTATTTTGTTTCATTGATCTATTTATCAACCTTTTTGCCAATAACACACTGTTTTGATTACTATCGCTTTAGAATATGTCTTGAAATCAGAACAAGCTCTAGCGTTGTTCTTTTTCAACATTGTTTTATTCTGTTTTCTTGCATTTCCATATAAATTTTAGAATCAACTTGTTAATTTAAAAAAAAGAACAAAACAAAACAGAAAAACACCTGATGAGATTTTCATTAGGATTGCACTGAATCTATAGACCAATGTAGAAAGAATTGACAACTTAGCAGTATGGAGTCTCAGACCCAGGACATAAGGTATAATCTCCATTTATTTTAGTCATCTTTAATTTCTCTCAGCCGTATTTATAGTTTTCAGCATGCAGGTCTTTTGTCAGATTTGTCCCTAAATCTTCCCTATTATTTGATACAATTGTGAATGGTATCTTTTTATTTCAATTTCTGAGAGTTCATTAATAGTATATAGAAATACAATTGATTTTTGTATATTGCCTGCAACATTCCTAAACTCATTTATCATTTTTGGTAGCTTTTTTGTAGATTCTGCTGGATTTTCTTTATAGATGTTTGTGGCATCTGCTAATAAAGATAGTTTTACTTCTTCCTTTCTAGTATGCCTGCTTTTTTATTAGTTGTCAAATTTGTAGACATAGTTGTTCAAAATATTTCCTTATCGCCCTCTTAACATGTGGTCTAGAGGGCTGTTACCTCTTTTGATCCTGATATTAATAATTGGTGCCTTTCTCTTTTTTTTCTAATTAGTGTGGCTAAAAGTTGATTGCTCTTGAGCTTCTCAAAGAACTAGCGTTTGGTTTCAGTGATTTTCTCTGTTGTTTTTCTGGTTTCTATTTCATTGACTTCTGCTATGATCTTTATTATCTTTACCTTTTAACTTTATTATTTACTTTCTTCCTTTTTCTTTGGGATTCATTTGTTCTTCTTATTCTAGCTCCTTAAGATAGAAACTGAGATCACTGTTAAAGATGTTATTTTCTAATACAGGCATTTAGTATATAAAATTTCCCCCTAAGTACTGATTTTGTAGTATCCCACAGATTCTCATATGTTGTGTTTTCATTTTTATTTACTTCAAAAGATTTCCAAATTCCTCTTTCATATATCTTCAATGGCCTCTTGTAATTTAGAAGAGTACATTTTGGTTTCCAAATATTTGGGGGATTTTTTAGAGCTCTTTCTGTTATTTATTTCTAATATAATCCCACTGTGGTCAGAGAACACACTTTGTAGGAATTAAATTCTTTTAAATTATTGAGACTTGTTTTATGGCCCAGAATATGTTCCATCTTGGCAAGTGATCCATGTACACTTGGGAAGAATGTGTATTCTGCTGTCCCTGTGTGGAATGTTCCATGAATTTTATCACTGCTTTTGATTACGAGGTGCGTTGGTATAGCTTTCTTTATGGTTCTTATGATTGGTGTTTATTGAGCATTTTGGACTTGTGGGTTTATAGTTTTCATCAATTTTGGAAATATCTTAGCCATTTCTTTAAGATTTTATTTATTTCTTAAAGAGAGAGAGAGCATGAATGGGAGAGAGAAAAGCAGACTCCCTGCTGAGCAGGGACCCTCACTGGACCCGGGGCTCGATCCTAGGACCCTGAGATCATGACCTGAGCCAAAGTCAGACACTTAACTGACTGAGCTACCCAGGCACCCCATCTTAGCCATTTTTAAAATTTATTTCTAATTTAATCCCACTATAGTCAGAGAACACACTTTATATGAATTAAATCCTTTTTAATTTATTGAGACTTGTTTCATGACCCAGAATATGCCATAGTTTTCATTAGCTAGACTTGGTTGGTAGTATTGTTCAAGTGAACTGTATCTTGCTGATTGTCTGTTTACTTCTTGTATCAGGTATTGACAGGGGATACTGAAATCTCTAGCTATTACTAGGGACGTTTCTATTTCTTTTTGCAAGTTGACCTAGTTAAAATATCAGTTTTGTTTCATGCATTTCAAAGCTCTGTTATTAGGGCATAAAGACTTAGAATTGCTATGTCCTCTTGATCATCATTATAAAATGATCCTCTTTATCTTGGTAATATTCTTTTTCCTGAAGTCTGCTTTGTTTGATATTAATATAATCACTTCAAGTTTCTTCTATTAGTGTTATCATGGTAAATCTTTTCTCATCCTTTTAAACTATTTGTATCTGTATATTTGAAGTGCATTTTTTGTAGACAACATATAATTGCATCTTGATTTTTTAATGCATTCTGGCAATCTCTGTATTTTAACTGGTTATATATATACTATTTACATGTGGTGTGATATTTTATATAGTTAAGTTTAAGTCTATCATCTTCCTATTTGTTTTCTGTTTGTCCCATCTGTTATTTTTTCCTTTGTCTGCCTTCTTTTGGATTTATTTTGCATTATATGATTCCATTTTACCTCTTTTGTTGGATTATTAGCTATAACTCTTTTTCTTGTTATTTCCATGGTTGTTTTAGGGTTTATGGTATACATCTTTTTTTTTTTTTAAGATTTATTTATTTATTATTTTAGAGGGGGGGTGCAGGGGGAGGGGCAGAACAGAGGGAAAGAGAGAACCTCAAGCCGACTCCCACTGAGGGCAGAGCCTGACAGGGGGCTCAACCCCACAACCCTGAGATCATGACCTGAGCTGAAATCAAGAGTCTGAAGCTTAGGGGCGCATGGGTGGCTCAGTCAGTTAAGCATCTGCCTTTGGCTCAGGTCGTGATCCCAGAGTCCTGGGATCAAGTCCCACATTGGGCTCCTTGCTCAGTGGGGACCCTGCTTCTCCCTCTGCTGCTCCCCCTGCTTGTGTGTGCACTCTCGCTTTCTCTCTCTCTCAAAAATGAATAAATAAAATCTAAAAAAAAAAGAAAAAAAGCCACCCAGGTGCCCTATGGTATACATCTTTAACTTATTACGTCTACCTTCAAGTGACATAATACCATTCACATGTAGTGTGAGAACCTTACCATAGTATATTTCTCTCTCCCCCCATCAGCCTTTATGCTATCAGTGCCATATATTTTACTTTTTGATATGTTATAGATGCACACAACATTGTTGTTTTTGTGTAAGCACTTGATATTTCTG